ATAATTCATATAATGCATTTTTAATAAACACTTAAAATTTGGAAAATTACTAACAAACTTTCACTATAAATATTTTGAACCTTACAGCCTTGTACTAGATTTTAGAATTTATTAATTTTTAATGCTTTAATACTTAAAATTTAATTATCAAAATTGTTTAAGTGTTACATTGAATTTAAGAAAAAAAATTGGTTGTCAGATTGTACTAAAACATAAAAATTTAGTAATTATCATCATTTTTTATTCAGTATTTTAAATTCCATAAAACCTTCTTGATAGCAAACAATAGTAACATACAACCACTGAAGATGACATTTATTTCTGGAAATGTTTTAAAAAAAATTCTGTACATTTTAAATCAATTCTCTTTTAAATTATGCATTTTATTTTGATGCTAAAACTTGCAATTTCTCTCAATCTTTAGAATATCAAATTTTTCCTGAATCAGATCAAAATATTTTGATCATATTAAATTTTGTTCCATTCAAAACATAAGCAGTTCTATGGACAAAAGTATTTTATAGCAATGTTTTTTTTTTTTAAAAAAGTCTGAAGCACTGTTATATATCTTGGCACATTCAGAAAGAGAATAGAATACACAGTGTAGTTTTGTTATTTGGATCCACCTGTTATCAAAGTTTACACACATACACTATAAAAAAAAAACTGTTTTTAAACTTCAAAATGTATGATTTAACTAAAATACATTTAATGACTTGACTTTAGAAGAACGTTGTTAAAATTAAACATTAAAAATTAGCATTTAGTCAATGCAATTCTCTTAAGGAATGGACCAACAAAAAGAAATTTTAGTTAGGACTTTTAATCCAGATGAGTGAATGTCATTAGAATATAAGCGATTTAACAATGTTTTCTAGATATATGATTTTCTAAGTCCATTGAATCAATTTGTTTTCAGTTGTATATTCAAATACATTTATTTTATTCAATNTTAATAATGTTTAATGGAAATGAAAATCTATAAGAAGAAAGTCTTAAATCATTTATAAATTATTTTATTTTTGTTTTCAATTTATTTGAATTCAATAACTGTTTTAAGGTTGGATTTGAAACTCTTAAATTATGGTTATCAATGTAAAGATCATATAAATGAGTCTTGGATTCAAAAATTTTTTCTGTTGTACCTATAAAACAAACAAAATATTTAGTGTATATAATAATCTTTCATAGTTTGTTTAATATAAATGAGTTTTTTTAAATATATGAATACTCACAAGCAATATAAAACATTTCATCTTGTAAAGTTTCAATATCAGCAATATTAACATAAAAAAGAGGTTGCGATATCGGATTTTCTATACTATGCATAGAATGTGCAACAAGACAGTTGGTACTGTAAACTAAATAATATATTATTTTTAAAAAGTTATAACTTTATTGGTATATAGAATATAAGTTATTAATATTCTCAAATAAATTGTCTTCATGCATAGAATTCATAAGAGATATTGTAGTCATTAAATAGTGTTTATGATCAACTGTGTTAAGAATTTTGATATTCCAGTTAACATCATACTAACTTTGNTTGACCAATTAGCGATCACCAGCCGTAACGTTATTCAAATCTGTGATTCCCAAGCCATAGTCTTATGCAAATCATGCCGTGTGGCGTGATTGTCTGCTGACCAATCAGTGGCTGTACTTTCAAAAAGCCAAAGGCCATTTTCAACCATCTCTCGATGACCGTTACGAGTAAAAAAAATACTTTGCTAGGTCTTATTTTCAGAGAGAGGTCTTATATTTCGCAATTCAGCAAAACCTGTGCTAGGTCTTATTTTCTGAGGATGTCTTATTTTCGGGGAAACACGGTATTATTGTGATTATGTAAAATATTAATGTTTCCCAGAAACATTCACACTATGCTTATTTGTATTTAGATTTAGTAAAAATGCTGTTATGTTTGTAATTATACTTTTATCTTTGCATTTAACTTCTTTAAAAATCAAATTTATAATTCTTTAATTTATCAAAATATATANGTTTTAAACAATTTAGCATGACAGTTGAGTATAAATTCCAATTACAACAACTCTATTTATATGTTTGTCAACATTGCTGGCATTTGAAACACTGAATAAGCTCAAAAGTGATTATATATGAACTGAATTAAGTCATTCTGAAGCAAATTTTGAAAGGAATTGAGTATCCACAATCAGCCACTAAATTGGATATCTTTGCTTCTATTTTGAAACACACTAAATAAACTCTAAATTCAAGCATAAATGTTGCTCAACTCAATTTGAAAACAATGAATGTAATCCTAATTAATGATATGATGTGTCTTGTCTGAAAGGTTATGTTGTGGAATCAGGGTGGAAAGTGACAATATTCTGTTACAATTAGCTGACAAAAAGACATTTTTTTCTATAAGTTGTCAGTACCTAAAAAAAAAAGTTTAATTGATATATATGCAGAAAAGGTTTCTTTATGTTGGAAAAAGAGCTCTCATCAGATCCCACATGAATAATTACACTACCAATATTACTACATTCAACTTTTACCAGTGGGAAAGAGATTATTGGGACACTTAAGCAAGGTTTCATTGCTTCAACAGCAAATGACGACTGTTTCTCTGGATGAGAGTCAGAGGCACAAAAACAGTTCAATCATGGCATGTGTGCATTGTGTGCATAGATTAGTGGAAAGATTTTCTGAGAGTTTAGGTGGAACCAATAATCTGGAGGATAATAGGATAATAACAAAAAGAAAGAGAATTGATGTGACTTTAGTCTGATAAACATCTTTGTATAAAAACATTTCTGGTTGATCTCAATTATTTTTCAAATTCTGTTGTTACAAGTATTTAGGCAATAGAAAGGGGCCAAGCTTTTTCATTTGTTTGTCAAAGTCAGTTTTTAATTTTTAATATTTATTCACTGTATAAAGGGGAAGAATGATGACAGTGTTGTTATTTCCTAAGACAATCATGATAATGACAGGTTTCTGTTAGCAAGAAATTAAACTTAAACGAAAAAAAATTGTTTTCAATTGAGGAAAAATACAATATATTTATGATATTCTAGTTGACATCACACTGACTTTGGTAGCTAAAACAGAAATTTTTCTTCAGTTTATGTCAATAGTCTAACATTTTATTCAAGAGAAAAACTATATAAATTATAAATTTACATATTCTTTTTTTGCAAAAAATGTTAAACCTTTAACTGTTGACACAAAGGAAAAAAATTTTGTTTTAGCTACCAGTCTCAAAGTTAGTATGATGTTAACTGGAATATCAAAATTCTTAACACAGTTGATCATAAACACTATTTAATGACTACAATATCTCTTATGAATTCTATGCATGAAGACAATTTATTTGAGAATATTATGTAGCTACTAGATTTGATTGAAAGTAGTTGAAGAGAAAATATTAAGATGAGACAGAAAAGACCTCAAATCAAGTAAGATAATTTATGTTAGTTAAATAAATAATTGTGATTTATTATGAAAAAATTTCAAAACAGGTTAGATAAATTAATTAATTTATTACATTGTTAAAATATTTAATATACTCTCATTGGCAAAAGTTATGCACCAAAAAGGAGGCATTGGAATCAAATGAAAATTTATTATTATGAGCATAATGATATTGGTAGTAAGTGATTATATTATAGCAAAAGGATAATTTCCTATGTAACAATGGTACAATTTAAAAGAACTTTTAGTACCTTGTAGAATCTCCTTATGCCTAATTACATGTGGCAATACACTCAAGCATGGAGATATTATAAACACTGTATGCTATCCTGTGACAGACTTGCCCATAGGTGTTACAACTGGCACTCTATATCCCAAAGCTGGTATCCCATCTGATTCTAGGACCAACAAATTTAAATACCAGGCAGGCCAAGGAAGTATGGCAACATGGTGGAGACATTCCTGGGAAATCTTAGCTGTATGTATTCAAGCATTATATTCCTGCAAAATAGCTATTGAGAGGACAGGATTTCCTGAATGTATTGCTGTGCTGTCAATGCCTTTTACACCAATATTATAGGTGACAGACTGCCATATGAGATAGTCCCAAAACCAACATGCCAGCAGTAGGAGCAATGTGCCACTCAACAGGAAAAGTGGGATCGAAGCACAAATGATCCTCCAAATTCTGATATAATGGTCAACTGTCCCCAAACAGAACCCAGATTTAAATTTTTAAGCTAGTCTCTGATGTAGCTGATGATATCTCTGATAAGATAATTCTTCATATAAAATTACATAAAGATTTCTTGAAATCAAAAATATCTTTACTATATTTTTATTGTACAACCTAGTACAGATTTTAAATTTAATTTTTATTTAAATTTATATTAATATGATTTATTTATTTCATTTTTCAGATATTTCCTCTCATTGAATAATTTATTATTTGATACATTAATGGAAGTATCAAAAACTTCAACAAAACTTTGGACAAGAAATCACATGAAACTTGTTGGTTTGCATCCTGTATATGATTATGAATTTTTGTCAGAATTAATCAAGATTTATGGAATTGATATTCATTTATGTATAGAAAATCCTTTTTGTCCCTCATTATCATGTTGTCATTGAAATTAATGCATTTAAAAAAATACATATATTTTTTATCTAAAACAGTTATAAAAGAATTGTTATTCTATTAAATAATAAGAAAAAATTTTATTATACAAACATATTCAAACAACAACTATCCCTCATGTACTGAGTGAATTGTAATAATGACAGTATTATATTATTTATGCAATATACAGTAGACGCTCAGTTAGCTGACATCCATGAGGATTGGTAGATGCCAGATAAATGTAGTTTCTGGTCACTCGACAGTTGTTATTAAAAATAGGCCTAATAAATACTATATCCCATACTAAACCAGACCATGCCATAAATTTTGTATTGACTTGATATTAATATTGAAATACAGTAATTAAAAGCAAATTTGGGTTGAGTAAGAAGAAAAAATTTGAACAATAGATCACAACTGACTGTTGTGATCTATTGTTCAAATTTTTTCTTCTTACTCAACCCAAATTTGCTTTTAATTACTGTATTTCAATATTAATATCAAGTCAATACAAAATTTATGGCATGGTCTGGTTTAGTATGGGATATAGTATTTATTAGGCCTATTTTTAATAACAACTGTCGAGTGACCAGAAACTACATTTATCTGGCATCTACCAATCCTCATGGATGTCAGCTAACTGAGCGTCTACTGTATATTGCATAAATAATATAATACTGTCATTATTACAATTCACTCAGTACATGAGGGATAGTTGTTGTTTGAATATGTTTGTATAATAAAATTTTTTCTTATTATTTAATAGAATAACAATTCTTTTATAACTGTTTTAGATAAAAAATATATGTATTTTTTTAAATGCATTAATTTCAATGACAACATGATAATGAGGGACAAAAAGGATTTTCTATACATAAATGAATATCAATTCCATAAATCTTGATTAATTCTGACAAAAATTCATAATCATATACAGGATGCAAACCAACAAGTTTCATGTGATTTCTTGTCCAAAGTTTTGTTGAAGTTTTTGATACTTCCATTAATGTATCAAATAATAAATTATTCAATGAGAGGAAATATCTGAAAAATGAAATAAATAAATCATATTAATATAAATTTAAATAAAAATTAAATTTAAAATCTGTACTAGGTTGTACAATAAAAATATAGTAAAGATATTTTTGATTTCAAGAAATCTTTATGTAATTTTATATGAAGAATTATCTTATCAGAGATATCATCAGCTACATCAGAGACTAGCTTAAAAATTTAAATCTGGGTTCTGTTTGGGGACAGTTGACCATTATATCAGAATTTGGAGGATCATTTGTGCTTCGATCCCACTTTTCCTGTTGAGTGGCACATTGCTCCTACTGCTGGCATGTTGGTTTTGGGACTATCTCATATGGCAGTCTGTCACCTATAATATTGGTGTAAAAGGCATTGACAGCACAGCAATACATTCAGGAAATCCTGTCCTCTCAATAGCTATTTTGCAGGAATATAATGCTTGAATACATACAGCTAAGATTTCCCAGGAATGTCTCCACCATGTTGCCATACTTCCTTGGCCTGCCTGGTATTTAAATTTGTTGGTCCTAGAATCAGATGGGATACCAGCTTTGGGATATAGAGTGCCAGTTGTAACACCTATGGGCAAGTCTGTCACAGGATAGCATACAGTGTTTATAATATCTCCATGCTTGAGTGTATTGCCACATGTAATTAGGCATAAGGAGATTCTACAAGGTACTAAAAGTTCTTTTAAATTGTACCATTGTTACATAGGAAATTATCCTTTTGCTATAATATAATCACTTACTACCAATATCATTATGCTCATAATAATAAATTTTCATTTGATTCCAATGCCTCCTTTTTGGTGCATAACTTTTGCCAATGAGAGTATATTAAATATTTTAACAATGTAATAAATTAATTAATTTATCTAACCTGTTTTGAAATTTTTTCATAATAAATCACAATTATTTATTTAACTAACATAAATTATCTTACTTGATTTGAGGTCTTTTCTGTCTCATCTTAATATTTTCTCTTCAACTACTTTCAATCAAATCTAGTAGCTACATAATATTCTCAAATAAATTGTCTTCATGCATAGAATTCATAAGAGATATTGTAGTCATTAAATAGTGTTTATGATCAACTGTGTTAAGAATTTTGATATTCCAGTTAACATCATACTAACTTTGAGACTGGTAGCTAAAACAAAATTTTTTTCCTTTGTGTCAACAGTTAAAGGTTTAACATTTTTTGCAAAAAAAGAATATGTAAATTTATAATTTATATAGTTTTTCTCTTGAATAAAATGTTAGACTATTGACATAAACTGAAGAAAAATTTCTGTTTTAGCTACCAAAGTCAGTGTGATGTCAACTAGAATATCATAAATATATTGTATTTTTCCTCAATTGAAAACAATTTTTTTTCGTTTAAGTTTAATTTCTTGCTAACAGAAACCTGTCATTATCATGATTGTCTTAGGAAATAACAACACTGTCATCATTCTTCCCCTTTATACAGTGAATAAATATTAAAAATTAAAAACTGACTTTGACAAACAAATGAAAAAGCTTGGCCCCTTTCTATTGCCTAAATACTTGTAACAACAGAATTTGAAAAATAATTGAGATCAACCAGAAATGTTTTTATACAAAGATGTTTATCAGACTAAAGTCACATCAATTCTCTTTCTTTTTGTTATTATCCTATTATCCTCCAGATTATTGGTTCCACCTAAACTCTCAGAAAATCTTTCCACTAATCTATGCACACAATGCACACATGCCATGATTGAACTGTTTTTGTGCCTCTGACTCTCATCCAGAGAAACAGTCGTCATTTGCTGTTGAAGCAATGAAACCTTGCTTAAGTGTCCCAATAATCTCTTTCCCACTGGTAAAAGTTGAATGTAGTAATATTGGTAGTGTAATTATTCATGTGGGATCTGATGAGAGCTCTTTTTCCAACATAAAGAAACCTTTTCTGCATATATATCAATTAAACTTTTTTTTTTAGGTACTGACAACTTATAGAAAAAAATGTCTTTTTGTCAGCTAATTGTAACAGAATATTGTCACTTTCCACCCTGATTCCACAACATAACCTTTCAGACAAGACACATCATATCATTAATTAGGATTACATTCATTGTTTTCAAATTGAGTTGAGCAACATTTATGCTTGAATTTAGAGTTTATTTAGTGTGTTTCAAAATAGAAGCAAAGATATCCAATTTAGTGGCTGATTGTGGATACTCAATTCCTTTCAAAATTTGCTTCAGAATGACTTAATTCAGTTCATATATAATCACTTTTGAGCTTATTCAGTGTTTCAAATGCCAGCAATGTTGACAAACATATAAATAGAGTTGTTGTAATTGGAATTTATACTCAACTGTCATGCTAAATTGTTTAAAACTTGAGGAATGTCAAGCAAAAACTGAGTGACATGTTTGTTTTTGTTTAGAATTGAACTGCTGCATGTGCTTTGTAAGCACCAAAAATCCTAACTTAAATCTAAGGCAGCATTTTTTCATGATATTCCTTGAGGACAAGATCTGATCAGGATTCCAAATAGCTTATAACATTCACTGACCTGGACTTGATATCCATACCAAACTTGATTGGGATTGATTGAGTGGTTTTGAAGGAGTTTACTTAAATATAACAATATTTGAGTGTAAAGAAATAAGCTTCATCACTCAGCTCAATTATTGAGGTTTAGACCACTGTTTGAGTCTGACTGACTTGTGAGATAAAGAATATCTAACTGGAAAACACTAATTTCACACTAAAACACAGATAAATACAAATTTTTTCATTCAAATAATAATAAAAAATATTGAAATTTTTTGTTTTAATTTTTACAATATATCATCTCTAAAATTGGTAACAATTAATTACAGTGTATAAAAGTTTATTATATATTTCACAATTATATATTAATAATCAATAAATAAATAACAAAGAATCAAATAATTATTAATAATATTTCATCCTAAAATAGTCTAATTTAATTCACAATTTAAAACTTACCCAGTAAACCATACTTCTTGACCATTATTTTCACAATTTTCATTTACAGATGCCTTATATAGAGTTCTAAAACAATTTCTCAGATATATAACACAATTTTTAAAATATATAAAACAAAAACTAAATTATTTTGTTAATTTATTACCTTATTTTGCATAATTCATTGTATTTAATTTTATCACTATTATTTGAATTCAATAACTGTTTTAAGGTTGGATTTGAAACTCTTAAATTATGGTTATCAATGTAAAGATCATATAAATGAGTCTTGGATTCAAAAATTTTTTCTGTTGTACCTATAAAACAAACAAAATATTTAGTGTATATAATAATCTTTCATAGTTTGTTTAATATAAATGAGTTTTTTTAAATATATGAATACTCACAAGCAATATAAAACATTTCATCTTGTAAAGTTTCAATATCAGCAATATTAACATAAAAAAGAGGTTGCGATATCGGATTTTCTATACTATGCATAGAATGTGCAACAAGACAGTTGGTACTGTAAACTAAATAATATATTATTTTTAAAAAGTTATAACTTTATTGGTATATAGAATATAAGTTATTATAGATTAAATATATATATTATTTTGAGAAAATAGTGGTGAACAAAAACTAATATCATTAATTTATTCTTTTCCAACTTGAATTACATTACTGTAAACTAGTTTGCATAAAAATTATTAAAGAATTTTTTTAACTTTTAAATGAATATTTTCAAAATTTTATAATATAAATAATAAAATCTATAAATTTCTAATATTAAAAAATATTCTCATAGTTTTGAAAATTATGAATGAGATTTAATCACTATGAATGAAAATATTGTTGAATATATTTATAAATTATTCGTTTTTCGTTAAAATAAAATTTTAAAAATTTCTACTTATTTCAAAAAAGGTGTCAATAAAGTGATTTTGTGTTTATCAGAACACAAAAGTGATTTAATGACTTGTTAATACCTTTTAATAATATCCTTTTATTCCTTTTTTAATATGATTAAGAAACTTATTGATACCTTTTTAATTATACCGTGTTTCCCCAAAAATAAGACAGTGTATTATATTAATTTTTGCTCTCAAAGATGCGCTAGGTCTTATTTTCAGGGGATGTCTTATTTTTCCATGAAGAAGAATTCACATTTATTGTTGAACAAAAAATTCCGAAGTCTAACTTAAACGAGAGTGACGTATATCCGCTCGTGTCGAACTGAACTTACGAAATTCCCGTGCTGGAGTGGACTTTCCACTCTCGCTTCAACTTAACCTTTTCATAGCGTCGACATCGGGCTCGATGACCAATTAGTGCTTACTGAACCGTAGCACTATGCAAATGTGATGGGGCGTGATTCCCGGCCAACCAATTAACGATCACCAGCCGTAACGTTATTCAAATCTGTGATTCCCAAGCCATAGTCTTATGCAAATCATGCCGTGTGGCGTGATTGTCTGCTGACCAATCAGTGGCTGTACTTTCAAAAAGCCAAAGGCCATTTTCAACCATCTCTCGATGACCGTTACGAGTAAAAAAAATACTTTGCTAGGTCTTATTTTCAGAGAGAGGTCTTATATTTCGCAATTCAGCAAAACCTGTGCTAGGTCTTATTTTCTGAGGATGTCTTATTTTCGGGGAAACACGGTATTATTGTGATTATGTAAAATATTAATGTTTCCCAGAAACATTCACACTATGCTTATTTGTATTTAGATTTAGTAAAAATGCTGTTATGTTTGTAATTATACTTTTATCTTTGCATTTAACTTCTTTAAAAATCAAATTTATAATTTTTTTTTGTAATTTTGAAATTTATATTTGTATCTTTAATATTTGGCCTAATTAATTAAAAATTTACAAAACTATTAATCTTTTTCTGTATTTTAGTTTAGCATTTTAACATAAATATTGAATAACATAAAATATAAATGTATTTATATGAAAACAAATATGATTTCATAAGTTTTGCTTTCTAATTTATTTAACTTACTTTCCTGAATGATTTGTATTGTATAAAAAACCTTATGTATATTTTAAGTTTTTTAACTATTAAAATTTATATGTAAACTTCTTATGAACATAACATTTTATTATACAAAAGTAAAGCAAAAGCCTGGAAAAATATGTTAACAGCATATTACATAGTAAAATTTATGGTTAGAGTGCCAGGTCTGGACTTGTGTGGGCAAAAATAAAAAATTGTTACTAAAGATCAAATGTCAAAAGAATTGCTATACATAATATAAAAATTCCATTTATTAGTAAAGACCGTATATGTACAATTCAATAACGCTAGAAAATCTTTGTAAAATAAAAAAGATACTTTATCAAACCAAAAGAAATATTTACAAAACCTTCCCGACAATTTGGGAACCTAGAATTACGATAGTTCTAATTTATCTCCACATAACCGACAAGAAAGATATGAATCAATTCTATCGAAAAAAAATACAATGAATCTTACAAATATGACTATGCGTCATCAAAACTCTGTTATTGGACCTGGAAATGGAACTTGAAAACCTTTGGTCAATCACTTGATTCTTAACACCACCTCATTTGAATCTAAGCTTCACCTCGTCTGTGTCATCTCCTTTTTATCTGGCAGGTGTGGTGATGTTACAATGTATCCACTCACTTGCCCTATTTACATACTTACACAGTAACATTTTACTTGATCTAGTATTTGGTTTTTTTCTCATGTAATTTCCCTCACAATTTTATAATACTTTTTTGTGTTGTCTGATAACAATTTGGAGGTGGAGATTATTCTTTTAACTTTCTGTAGAAGTCTCCTACCCTCAAGATGTCATTTTGGGATGATGACGTCATTTTTTCTGTCTGTGGTCTTTATAAGGTGAGTTTTAACTTTTAGAATTTTTGACCAGAAGGTGTGGTAGTTGATCCTTAATGAAATAAAACATGCCAAAATAAATAGAATAATGAACTAAAAATAATTCCCAAACAAAATAGAATGGTTTGGAATTGACTCCTGAATAAAAACATTTAACTATTTTCTAGTTTTATGAACATTTTTAATATACAGGTGGTTAAATTTCTGTCCAAAATTATAGAATTGGAATAAAACCGAATGTATTACACAGTCCCAATTTATTTTTTCTCTAGGTACTCCTGCTTCACACACTGATACTCTTCCCATCATTTTGGCAATGGTGCTATGCCTAAAGAATAGAAGTCTTGACTGGTGTTATAACAGTCCTGTGCAAAGTGGAAGCAATGAGAAGACTTAGTTAGGAAATTCTGTATCACACAACCTACAGTTTGGATCTGTCACCATGTGATTATCACCTGTTTGATCCTTGAAGGAAGCTTTGGGAGACAGGAGATTCATCCAGAATGACAAACTCTCTGAAGTCAGAGTCTGTCATGCAGCAGCTCTGACAGCAGCCCAAAGACTTCTATTCTGCAGACCCAAACAGTATAGCAGATTAAGGACTTATGGAGCCGTGTACATGAAATTGACTGACTAGTTTGACCACCAAAGCAGTTATGATCAAAACAAGACATATAATCAGTATGGTAAGTCTAAGTATGAATCCATCTTTAAGACTGGTTTAAGATCTTATTGTGTAAACCAGCAGTAATCTTAAAACACACTTACAAGATTTATGTGATTCAGATGTTTACACATGATGCACTGGAATAGATTTTCAAATCATTCTGATTTTTGAGCATTCTCAAAAGCATTCATTTCTCTCAAGTGTGATAAGAATGTGATCTAACACAGGATTCCAATTTCATCATTAATTGGTTCAAAATGCGACAATGAGCAAAAAATCTGACATATTAATTTTCTGTAATACTGTTGCGAATTGTCAACCAAGATCACCAATAAGTTCGAATGAGATAAATTCTTCTATATTGAAGTTATGAGTGACAAAATGTCAATGATACAACTATCATGTAAGCCAGCCTTTACATAAATTCAGTTTGTTCTTGAAAAAATGGAAAGAGATGAGACTCCTGTTGACTTATATGTTTCTTCTAGAGCATTAGGACATGTTAGAAGGGATTGACTTAATGGATCATAAAATCAGACATTCCTCATACAATAGTCAAAACTGACCTTGGGTCTTTCTAAACAGAAAACACTCAAAATGCTTCTACACACTTTGAGGCAACATGAAGTCACTGACACTGACAGCACAGAAGGCAGTAGAGGAGTTCAGAGGATAAAAAGTACAAATAAAAGAATGACAGATTAGACAGGCAAAGCAAAAATAGTGTACACATTTTTATTGAAATTTTTATCTTAAGCAAAAAATAAATCACTCAGGAACTAGGATAAGACAAGACCTAAAGTTTACTGATTTGGAATCCTTGTAATTGTAGGGCCTGTGCATATGCACAGTCTGCATTTATTGATAGTAATCCATCCATCACTGATTGTTGTCAAAACAATGGGAGAAGTGTCAGCATATGAAGGGAAAGTATATTCAGTAAGATATACAGTACCAGTGGTGGATCCAGAACCTAAAGGGGCTAACGCAAAAATTTTGAATGAATAATTAAGTATGTACAGTACTTCTTATTCACATGTGCATGATGACTGTATTGCAGATAGTCTGATTATATTTGCCATCATAAATGTTTTTAAAAACAATGTTTTGAAGTTCAAACAAATAAATGTTAAATCCTCCACATTGACACAAAAAAATTAAGTTCCTGTAGCCCCATGGATCTACTTCTGCTCAGTATATTAACTTTTTATTCTAAAACAGCAATTAGAAGCAGATAATATTAATTTAATAGTAAGTCTTCTAATTACAGTGTAACCTTGAAAACTCGGCCTAATGTGGACCGAAGTGTGGCCGAGTTTGTGAAAATGCCGGGTTATCGGGAATGGGGTTAAAAAAATAAGTACGAGTGTTTCCTCAAAAAATACTGTACTGTACTTGTATGTATTGTTTACTTGAGAATATAACAGAGAATAAACTGCCCAAATACCCTTAAACAAAGGAAAAGTACATCCTTTATGAAGGCATAGAGCCTTTACTACATGAAAATTAAAATTAATGAATACACTGTATACAGTAATTTACCTGATAAGACAGACCTCAGAAAAATACTTTATGAGAGCTTTTATACTTTTGTAAAGCTGTCTATAATGAAAATTAATTAACTAAGGATTTTTTTGCCCTGCCAGGGTGTGTCCGAGTTATCCGGAGTGCCGGGTTATCGAGAGCCGAGTTTTCGAGGTTCTACTGTATTAGATTTCTCTTTTATTTATCAGGCAATAGATTTTAATGAAGAATTAGTTTGATTTAACTTCATATAAAAGGCACATTTAGAAAGCCTAATTTATTTTCAACATTGGAATGAACATTATATGCAATAAATGTGAAAGATTATTACTCAAGGCAAAACTTTAATGTAATATTAATATTATGCATTTAAAAATGAATTAAATTTTATTTTTTAACTACAAACTATAATTTTTTTTAAATAAAAGAAATATTTACCTCTATGACACACATTTCCAATTGGAGGAGAAGAAAAAAATAATATCCTTTTTTTCAGAAGAGCAAATTTCCAAAGAACAAATATTTTATCTTCAAAAAATTTTACAAATTCTGAAAAGCATTCTTCTGGATGTCTTGTCTAAATATATAATAAAATGACGAGTTTTATATGTGCAGTAAGATTAACCAACCAGAAAGTATTTTAAAAAAAAGTGACTTTTTTATTAGCATATTTAAACATTTATAACTACCATTTTTACAGTTTATCCTTATTATAGAATGTATCTATGGTATTATTTTATAATACTAAATTTTATGCAAAAAGCTGATTCAAATGCAAAATAAACTATGCTTTAGATAAACTAATTTTAATTATTAAAAATGTTTGTTGTAAAATTATGATTATTTTATGTTTTTAAATTTTATTTCTAAATTAATTTTATAATTACTATTATAAATTAATGGCAAGATTAAAAAAGACATCACACAATGTCTACAATAATGTCTATAATGCTAACTGTAATTATTTTCAAGCTTTGTCATTATCTAAAAGATATTTATTCCAAACTTTCATTCTTAAATTTTGAAAGTAATTAAGTAAATAATTAAGCAAAAAAATTTATAAAAAAACAGTTAATAATGCTATTTGTGATTATATGTACTTTCTTTACACTTAATTTTTATAACAAAGCCTACTACTATAATAATAATTTCCAACAATAAAATAATTTAGAAAGTTAGATTAAAAGTAAAAGTGATGCAATTTTATTGAACACCACTGTATATAAAATTTTAGAAAAATGCAAAACATTTGTCTAACAAAAATAAGAAATTCAAAAAGTTGGATTTTTACAGTTTTAAAATGAATCATTGAAGAAGAAAAAACAAAGAAGGTTGCTTCAGATTCCTATAATCACAAAATAATAAGAATAAAATAAATCAACAAACTAAATTATTACAATTTAAATGATTAAAACATAATTAAAACAATAAATACTTAATTCACTTTGGTTCCAATACACTCTTTTGAGACAGAAGATAATAACAGAAAAACAACTTTGAAAGAATATAAATTACAGATATCATCACAAATCATCATAGATAATATAAATAATAGTATGTAATTCAAGTATCACAATAATTTATGAAAAAATGAATCTATCAGTTATAGGATATTGAGTTTAAACATTTATGCCAACAATATTATCCAAGATTATCCTATTAATAGAAAATAAAAATCTCATAAAAATAATACATAGCAATAGTTGTAACAGTTATCCATAGAACAACAACTGCTACTTTACAACTGGTTAACTTAGAATTAAAAAAACAACTACAAAAATCTAAAAACCAGCAAAATTATTTAAAAACACGAACGTTTTTGCCAATGTTGAATGGGCATCATCAGACAAACAACTGCTGAGATAAATGAGAGGAGGAAATCATGGTGGGCTCATATATACAGGATTCAGACAAACACCACAGAAACATTTTGGAATTAACCGATCTACTCTGCCATTTGTCCTTTTTCTCCTTTGAAGGAGAAATATTCCTACAAAACAAGGGTGTCCCTATGGGCAGTCCAATATCTGGCATATTATGCAAATTAGTTGTGCACCAGCTTGAGACTGTCATCCTTCCCACCTTCAACAACCACAGAATTTTCCTTTAAGCAAGATATGTTGACAATATTCTTATAATTTGGTAGGATAAATCCTTTATCTTAGATTTCCTACAAGAGATCAACCACAACCCATATGGCCTTGTGCTCCTCCATGAACAGGATAACGCTCATACAGTTTATTTCCTGGACTTCCAGATCTCTTCAAACACTCAAACAATGGACACTTAACTACTCATGTTTACAAAAAACCTACGATCTGTTCACTTTCAAGATGGCTGGATTCAGAGTCTTGATTCAAAGGGCTCCCATTTGTCTAACACACAAGATAGAGAGGAAGAGCTCCTTATGATCACCCATTATGCCACTCAGCATGGCTACACACTATACAGGGCCTTTTCATCGACTTTCCAACACCAGTTCCACCCTGTAATTAAATCACTTCCAAGATACAAAGTATAGAACTGTGATTTACAACAAGATGCTTGCCACACTGTAAAAAGAAATTTCCAGGAGAAATAACTTTCAATTAACTTTCTGTAGAAGTCCCTCAATTTTCTTCCTCCTCTGTAATGCTAGACTGTCCTGACAGGCATCACCTACCAGGCATCTACAGTATTCCAGTCATCAATCATAGGTCCAACCTGCCACTTGCAATACACAGGAGCTATGACTCGCCCTTTAAATACCCATCTCAAAGAGCATCATATGTCTATCAAAAAAGGTTTGGCCAACACCACTTTGGCTATCTATGCCTCCAACCCAGACATCCATGTTGAATTCTGCAAAGAATGCCTATTATATAATGCATCTAAGCAACCTTTCTTTGATGTTGATTCCTTCCCCACAGCATAAAAGTCATTCTATGAAATATAAATTCTCACTGTCCTCCCCATTCTCTCATCTTATGTTATATGTTACCTCCTCCTACACATGTTCAGCAATCCCATTTATCTCAGCAGTTGATGATGCTCGTTCAACACAGGTGGAAACGTTTGCATTTTTAAATAATTTTGCTGGTGTTTAGGTTTTGTAGTTGTTTTTTAATTCACAGTTATCTATTTTAAGTAAATTATAAATCAGTATATCAAATCTAAACAAAAACATTTTTAACAAATGTTATGAAAATAAGATTGGCACTAGAAAATTTAATGTTTAATTTAATAATTAAAACAATTCTATATAAAAATAAAGTGATTTATACTAACCTCCATAACTGAAACTAAAGGTCTAGAAATATTGACATTATAACTTGGTAGCAAAATTCCCTTTTCCTCTTCATAATAATTTATCAAGTTGTCATAGCAATCAGTATGCTCAAGAAGAAATCTGTTAAATAATAATAAGATTTACTTAAAACTTAAGCAATATAAAAATTTAGAATATGTTTAAATAAAATTACATTATTATTATTCTGTTTCTAAATAAACTAACAAAATAAATTAAACTTTATAGTTATCTTAACTGAAATGTTTTATGTAAATATTTTTAGTTAAAATTTGTTACAAAACAAATATAATGTCATATAAGACAGATGTTAAATAAAAACTTATAGTATTTTTCANCCCTCACCCCCCCGCGTTGGAATTTCGAAAAATCCTTTCTTAGTGTGCGTTTCCATGACGTACCCTAACTGTGTACCAAATTTCACCTCTTTAGGTTAAGCGGTTTGCTCTGGGCGATGATGAATCAGTGAATGAATGAGTGAGTCAGTCAGGACAAGCAATTTTATATATTTAGATATCTAATAAAACTCTTAAATTCTACCTTTTAAATTCCTCACTTTCAGGAATTTATTCTTTTTGTCAGATGTCAGATTTTAATTTTTAATCATTAAAGTTCAAAATTCTTGCCAATAAATTAAGTACAAGTACAGAAAATTCTTGTTAATTCAAACTCTGACAGTTTGAAATCCCATTAGTTTGTAACTGTAGTATTTGTTCAAGCACAGATATAGGGATATACATGTTAAAGAATTGTTAGTTCATACATATATGGCAATTTTGAAATCTGAAGTGAAAATTCAGTCTGAAATGTTATATGTGCATATTAATTCATACATTTAGATCAAAGTTCATGTGCCTTCATGGTACAAGAGAATAATAGACCACAAACAACTCTAATCAACATAGCTTTGCTTTTACAGTAACATATTTTTGGGTGAACTATGACTCACCTTACCCATCAACTACCCTTCTCCTCTTAGCTCATAAACTATGGTTGGGTTTCAAGGATTGGAAGATTTGGCTACAAGTAGCAGATTGGGATATTTGTAGAGCTCTATTCTACTAGATTTGAGTGACTTACTACTTTTTGGGCTACATTTAAAGAATTTTCCTGTACTTTTTATAAAACCTATCTGGCAACCTGTGAGGTTCTCACTGAACATGGACTGTTTACCCTGCAGTGTTAGTACAGTATATATCATTTTTGCTAAGACTAGCTGATACCTGTTGTACAACCAAGTAGTTCATAGCAAGTGGGCAGAAAGTGAACATTTTTTGCTTATGAAACTGATTTTCATGGAGATAGCTCCAAAAGAAGCTACGAAAAAATATTGATTGCGAAAAAACTATACTTCTCTGGAAGGCGGACAAGAATGAATATTTAAAAAGTGAGATTACAAGAGCTTTCAATATTCCTTTTTCAACTCTTTCAATATGCTAAAAACTGTAACAAACTTGAACAATCAGATGAATCCAGTGCTGAAATCAGAAACAGAAAGGTCTGCATACTGATAAATAGTGTAAGCAAATAGAAAAGCTCTTTTCCAGTGGTTTTATGATGTGCACACAAAAAATATTCCCATCAGGATCTCTGATCAAAGAAAAGGCAGTTATGTTGGTGTCATGAATGGGTATCAATGACTTCAAGTGTTCCAACTGATATCTGTGCCAATTTCAAGCTCACCACAATACCATATCTCTGAATGCCAGCATTGAATCTTCATCAATGAACACTAATGCTGCCAAATCATAGCTAGAAACTGTTTGTCCAATATTACAAGAATATACTGAATATGACATCTTCAACTTAGATAAGACAGGTGTGTTCTACAATTTGATGTCATCAAAAACATTAGCACTGAAAGGCAAAACCTGCCATAATGGCAAATACAGTAAGGAATGGATCACAGCCATGCTATGTTGCAATGCAGATGGCACAAAGAAATTTACACTTATAATTGGCAAGTTTAAATTAAATAAAAAATATAATAATTGGAAAATTTGCCAATCTTTGTTGTGTGAGGGCAACTGCAGTTATCTTGCTCATATGAGTCAAATAAAAACTCTTGGATGACTGCAAAGATATTTTGAGACTGGCCGCTATGCTTTCGAAACAAAATGTCAACACAAAAAGAAAGGTCTTATTGCTAATGGATCAAGTGTTACCCCACAGTATTGAAGGCTTACACCTTCAAAACTGTGAGGCAACACTGAGCATGTGCTATTTTTACCAGCAAGCACTACCAGTATTATCAAGCCCTTAGAACAAGGCATTATTTCACAACTGAAAGTACAGGAAGTGTTTGGTGTGGTACATGCTTGAAGAGATTTCTCAAAGTGTATTGCTGAAGAAATATCTCGGATGCCCTGTGGAATGTTATGGTTGTCTGATAAGAAATTCCAGCTGAAAGCATAAGAAATTGTTTTGCAAAACCAGGTTTTGTTCAATGGTGTGTAGATGCTGGTAACATTGAAAACAACCATTAAAATGAAGTGCCATCTGAATGGGAAGATTAACAAAAAATATTGATTGCATCTTGAATTTATGTGAATGTGAATGACAATATTGCAACAACCAATGACATCAACTTTGATGAGATAATACCAAACCTAGATGCAGCCACAGTACCAGTGCAAATGCTAGATGTTTGCAGTAGTGACAAAAGAAAGATTGTTTTATGATAATTTATTCATAAATAAAAGTAATTATGTTATGAATAAACTGGTCAAATTAATTCTAATTGTTGGAAAATTAAACAAAAATTAATAAAAGATTTAATAAATTTTTTACTTAAATTTTTTATGCATATGTTTTGATATATAATATTTGTTTTTAGAAAAAACAAAATTCAAATACTTAATATAATAAATCCACTCTGTGAGCTTATTAAAAGGACTTCACCTAGAAAAGTAATGGAATCTATTTATTTTAGATTAGAAGCAGATGATCTCCAGATGAAAGTTTAAGGTGCAAGCAACTCGTGATTAGCCAAATAAAATAACCCTGAAACCTGGCACCCCGCTGTGCAAGAAATAGCCAGATCAACAAAAGTCTACTCTATTAACAAGCATATTAATAGTAACAGAATTAACAGTTCATAAAATTTCTTTAGGCCGTAAGTTGAACAGCATTAAACATAGCTATTAAATTTTTTAATTATCTCATAAAAAAAAATGTGAACACAAAATTACTAAGTACAGTACTGAACAATTCAGTGTAAGTACTGAATAATTTTTTTTATTTAAAATGAAGACATACTATTTCTTTGACTGAACATTTCAAGATGTTTACTCATATTTAATCCCATTTATATATTCAATGTAAATAAACCTTTATAAAAAATAAAAAAAAATATGGAAAACATTGAACATTTTCTTGCTTTGAGTATAATAAACTGTTTTTATAAATTTTTTATATGTAATTTTCTAGGTTTTTTTATGTAAATTTATAATAATATATTAATAAAAATAATATATATATGTATTATTTATTTAAATAAAAAAAATCAGCAATTGTCATTTTTGATTTAAAAAAATTTTTTGAAACAAAATCATGCCACTTTTTCAAAAAGATTATATCAATGGCAACTGAAAAGCAAAGTTTATAAAAAATGGCATGTTATAAAAAGAGCAAGGTCTTATAAAAAAAAATGGAAGCAAAATATAGATTATCTTGCTTCCATTTTTTTTATTAGACTTGTCATTTTGTAGAAATATAATCATAACAACAGATCAATGCCTAAAAACTGAAATTTCAATTTAAATGCATAAAGAATCTGTAAAGTAGTGACCTTTTAGCAGAGTGGGAACAAAAGAGGCGCAACCTTGTCAATTGGATCCACGTGCGGTTGGGTAATACCACTTGTAAAGTATTGACTTGTAAACAAGGGAAAACAAAGGAAGCGCCGACTTTGTTAATTGGACCCACCTGCAGTCAGACGGTAGTACATTTGCCATATGGTAAACAAGTGGCGGACGTTTGTGTAAGCTCTCATTGGATGACGGCGGACCTGAGTGTAAGCTGTTCGGGCATAAAAAAGGGTTGTGATTGGTCGGAAGTCCCCGTTCCAAAAACCCTTAAATTGCGGGGAAAACGAGAGGAGAGAGAGAAGGGCAAGAGACTGGTACACGGTAGTCTCAGGCACTTGGGAAGCCCGCTGAGCGTAGAGAGAGTGTTCTCCTCTGTTAATCATCTCAGGGACGGGTTAGTGCAGAGATCAGACCGACCGTGCAGTTGAGCCAACTCTACAAGCTGACTGAGGTCTCTCCAAAGGTTATTAGTTCCCAGACACCAATCTGGCACGTGAGTCACCATGCATGGTTATCCTGTACATATACCATGTTTTCTAACTTGTACTTTCTACAACTGTAAATAAACTGTAAATATATTCAATTTGAGTGTGGAGGTATGCTTTCCAACGAACCTGATTCACTACATCGAGTCATGATACACAGGAAACCAACTCAACGAGACAGACTTGGGAAAGAACATTCACAAAGATCTTCACTGAATCTTTATCATAATTTATTGAAATAAACTGTTTTATCCAAACTAATTTATTTCAAAAACTAATATTTTCAACCAAATCTGCAGCTATTCTCAGGGTTTATAATCAAATAATTAATAGAACAATTTTTAAACAAAGTATAATCATATCTTTTTTAAAAGTTGTTTCCATGTTTTTCAAACAGAAATTTGCAATAAAGCTATAATAGATCTATTAAAATACATATTTTAACAATGGACTTCAATAAACAACTAAACTAACCTTAAGATATTGTTTCTCATAAACATTATTAGATATATCATATTTTTTTAATATTCTTTAGTTTACCTGACTTGGTTTTTTAGGAATGATTTGTGTTGATGGAGTGAAGCATAACTTATAGAAAGAATTCCTACTGATTTCATTCTTGCTCCTCTTTCTTCTGCAATATTGACAGACATATTTTCAAAGCAAGCTAATCCATACAGCTGATTCCATTTAAAATAACTGTATTTAAATGAAAAAATTGTTTCAATATTAATGATTCAATTTAGTTAAAAAAATAGATTCGATAAATAATAAATGTAACTTAAAAAAAAGAAATACATTATGAATATTAAATACTATAAAATTCAAAATACAGTCGACCCCCCTATAACACTGTTGATTATTCCGTTTTATATGAATTTCATGTTGTACGAGTCACTTAGATTTTACAAATACGTGTGCTGGGCTGTGAATGGCTCACGTATTTGTAAAATCTAAGTGACTCGTACAACATGGAATTCATATAAAACGGAATAATCAACAGTGTTATAGGGGGGTCGACTG